GAGTCTTATATTCACGGGCATCTTACACTTAAAATATGGTATTAGCAGTTTGCTGGTGGTTCTGTCCTTTAAAAAAATTAGGCACACATATTTTCTCTTTTTAAAAATTGTAATCATTGGCCAGGCACGGTGGCTCATGCCTGTAATCCTGGCATTTTGGGAGGCTGAGGTGGGAGGATCGCTTGAGTCCAGTAGTTCAAGACCAGCCTGGGTAACATAGTGAGATCCCTGTCCATACAAAAAGTTAAAAAAAAAAGAAAAAAAAAAAAGCCAGTGGTGCATGCCTGTAGTCGCAGCTACTTGGGAGGCTGAAATGGGAGGATCACCTGAGCCCAGAAGATCAAGGCTACAGTGAGCCATGATTGCACCACTGCACTCCAGCCTGGGCAACAGAGCAAGAACCTGTCTCAAAAAATAATAATTGTTATTATTTGTAGTAATATAATGAATATCCATGATGGTTTGTAATGGAGCATTTCTGATCATTGCATTAATATGGAATCATGGGTGTGGGATTGCTAGTTAGTTTTTAAGAGTCTGAAATGATTCACTGTTGGCCTCTAGTTGTCTTTTTCTTTTTCATAGTTTGTTTGTTTTTCACCTGGAGAAGCCAGAATCACTTGTCATTTGTCAATTCATTTCTTAGCATGTAAATAGTACTGTACAATTCCAAGATCAGCAAAGAAAATTGAGGATAGACTGCTAGGACAAGAGGGTAGAAGATATGTTTCTAGGATATAAAAGTCCATAACCTAACAGGTTATTGGGTAATGTGTTAAACTCATGATTTGTATAAGAAACAACAGGTATAAGTAAATGGCGAGGACAGATGTGTGGGTGTTCCCTCTAATGGGAGAGATTTATTGCCTAAGACATAAATACACACTCATTTGAACTCTTCTTGGATTAAAAAAGAAATGAAAACAGTCCGCTAATGCCTCTTATACTAATTATCTTAGTATTCACTCTCTCCTTTAGGACTTATTGGAACTTTGTATTTTTATGATAATCTGTTATTAAACCTCCTGGCTGATATTAGGTAGGAAATTCTAGTAGCGTATGTTGTGTTTGTATAGGATATCACCTTTTAGATTATCAAAAGACAAAATTGCAAATCTAGTTTAAAGATCTTAATTGATTTTACTTGCCATTCTAGAATTGGGCAACACTTCATTTTATAAGGTAGAATGAGTGTTCCAATGAACTGAGAAGGGGAAATGGATTTTGTAGACAAGAGCTGAAGAAAGCAGAAAAAAGGAAAAGGTGGATGGATAACCATTTCAAAGTTACTTTCCTTGTAAGGTGGAAACAGGGAAACAGAACAAAAGAAAAATAACTAGTTAACAGCAGGTTACATTTTGTTGTAAGGATTAAAGACAGAGGGAACTTTATTGTCATGCTGATTGAAACTAGTCTGTGGAATTTTAGGGTGTGTGATTCCATTTGGTTTGGTCTAGTTTGTTTTGGTCTCATGCAGGAACTTAGTCCAAAACAATGGCCTCCTGTAATTTTTATTTAACAAAATTCAGGAGTGACTAATATAGGGAAATACAATATGTGGATGAAGAGTCTAGCTTTTGACAGGCTTTCTTAGATTGGGAGATAATGTCTAAACAAGTGCCTTGTCTGTATAACTAGACAGGTAGGAGAGGACTCTTGAGTTCAGAGTACATTTTCTCAATTTCTTTAGCATGTTCTTGAGACCTTGGTTCTCTGTATTTGTTACTACCAGCTGACCACTAGTGTGGTCTTAGCCAAAAATCAGTGGCAATGCTGGTTCTTGAGTGCTAAGTAAGGTATTCCTCTTCTAGTTGACTTTTTTTAAAAAATGCAGTTTTAGCTTTTTAGACACAATTTTGACTTTGGTAAGTAACCTGTAACCTCTGTCAAGTATATGTGAGGGAACTGAATTTTCTCCAGTGCTCCATTCCTAAGAAGTGAAAGGGAGTTTAAACTGGTGATATGTTATTGATCGAAGGATCTACATGGTAGGCATAAGAGAGCAGAGTGAGGGGATGTACAGGGTATGATGGGGGTGGAAGTGAGTGGGGAGCTATTTGATTCCTAACTCCCAGTAGGTTCCTCGGTGACAGTTGCACAGTTGTCCCTTGGTATCCGAGAGGTGTTGGTTCTAGGAACCCCCATCCCCTCACTGCAAAATCCATAGATGCTCAAGTCAAGTACAGTTGGCTGTCCTTATGTGGAGGTGTGGGACCTGCAGATATGGAGCGCCAACTGCATGTCAGATAATTGTAGAACTTGAGGCCATCCCTTTAGGCATCTCTTAAATTGTTTTTGGTCTGAGGTCCTTCAGGTTCCTGAGGAAAATAGGAAAATGTTTGCCCCTGTAACAGCAATTGGGGAATTAAATTAGGATTTGGCCAAAATCTTAATGGGAGATTAAATAACTCTTAGCTGTCTGCATATAATATGTGAGTCCATCATTAGGAAAAAGTATATTAATACTCCAGTTCCCAAACACTACTCTGAGGCAATTCATCAGGGAAAACTTGGCTTTAGTAGGACTGGCAATAGTTTGCCCATTCTTAGTTCTCTCTTTTACTTGAGGTTCCTGAATCATAAATTAACATTTTTACCAGTAATGCTTAGTTTTTAAGGCTAGTTTTAGGGATACCTCCTAAATACCTCCTATGAAACTGATCCTGACTCTTTGTGTGTGTGTGTACTACCTCTGTCCTTTGCCAGTAATTTTAAAATTATAGTTCTCATAACTATTTATTTATAGGTTTGCCTTTTATTCTCCTTTGATTAGGGTCCCTCTGACCTAACTATCTTTGTATTTATATTGCCTAACATTTTATAGGTAGTCTGTAAAGAAATGAGCATCTACTATGTACCTATCGTTATATGAGGCCCTCTGAGATATTAAAATAAATGGGTTCCTAGTGGTTGGCCCTTTCTCACTTCCAAAAGTGTACAAAGGCTTGTTCAGTGAATCAGTGCATCAGTGCTCTATGACTACTAATTGATTGTCTTCCTGATTCCATTAGGCTGAACAGAAACATACTTTTGTCTTGAAGAGCGAAATTGCTCTGAAGTGCCTAGCTCAGAAGAGCTAGGCTATCTCTCCAATATGTGGAGGAAAAGGAATCCTGACCCTCTTTGCAGATGCAGTTTTGAAATAGGTCAACAGCAGGCTGGCTCCATCTGAAACTGTCAGTTCTTCATTGTTGAGTTTGCATATGGAAATTTGTCTTTGCTCATCCAAGCTCAGGAATTATTCAAGTGGATCTGTTTGCATGAAGAGAAACTTCCAGAACTCGAAGCCTTCCTATGAAAGGCAAGGAGCTAGGAATAAAGCAGTGGAAGCCTTGGGGCCCATGGAAGAGCTATTTCATGCATTTATTTTTAGGCCCCCTAAAATGAAGGAACGAAATAGAAAGGCTTAGGAAGCCCCAACAGGTTTGTAGCTTACCGTTTGGCTCTCAAGAAGACAGCATGTGTTCTTTCTGCAAACTTTTGATTTTCAGTTCTCATGTTTTACTTTTATTTTGCTTACTTCTTTGCCTTAAACCTGCTTTCCAGAAATCAAGTCAATGGGAAAAAGGATATGGGGTTTGGCAAAGAAAGAGAGCAGATAGAATACCTCTTGTATTTGTAGAAAGGACTGTACCTTGTTATAGGCTGTGATATGCTCACATTTTATATTGTAATAAAACCAGAAGTATAACTCAGCATCATGGGAGCTCTCTGTTGCAATGGTTCAGAGCATGGACATTAGGTAATTTCTACTCATACTTTCACATAACTCAGCTGTTGTATCACATATACCATTTCATTGTTATGAGTTATGGAAATTAAGCCATTGTGGTGCATTATTTCCCTGCAAAATATTTCATGGTCTTTATCCAAATTTGGTTATATATACAAATGAATGTTATCGGTGTGATGTTTCAAATGTTGATTTTTATTATTCATAGAATATTTTTACTTAAAAACAAGTATTTTTCACAGCATCCCAGGAAGGAAAGCTAGGAC